GAGAGAGAGAGAGAGAGAGAGAGAGAGAGAGAGAGAGAGAGAGAGAGAGAGAGAGAGAGAGAGAGAGAATCTTCCACTAGAACATGGAAATGTACACTACTACACGATCCGAGGAAAATGGACTGCGACAAGGGATAGACAGTACCTTAGAGACAGTTACCTTGGAGCTCCCCGAACGCCCGCGCCCCCACATTGGCCCCCCCCACAGCGATAATGGGGGCCCCCGATTTGGGGCAACTTGCCGGCCACACACAGCGATAATGACTGGGCGTTATATTGGGTTAAAAGGTAGATACCCATTGTATCAGTGATATTAGAAACATAGACAAAAACAACAACCACAAATCCGAGGGCCCCCACATTGGCACAACCATTCACGCCGCGAAGGCCATGGCGAAGTGTAAATCCCAATTAGGCAAAGAAGGCTCAGCTAAACTGAGAGTTATAAAAGACCGACCCCCTGCTCCCGACTGCAACCAAGTTTTTATCCAGTATAGACATCGGTCAGTGGAACAGAAGGTCAACCTGCCGCTGGGGGCATTGAACGTGAAAATCTGAGTACATCAACTTCACTGATTATTCGCGCTTATTCCATGGCGGCAAATAACTCCAAATAAAATCAGGGACATCAACTCAATGCCAGACTGTTGGTAATGAAAGGATGGGATAAATCAAAGAGAAAAAGAATTGGGGTGCAAGGAAAATCTCCCCCTAAGCTAGGCTACCAGAGTGGCCCGGGTCCAGTTGCCCGGACGGGCCAAAAAGGAATAAAAAAATAAAAAAATAAAACAAAGTTTTAAAATTTAATTAAAATTTTCATTTTAAATTTGGTACAGAATTTCGATGTGACCCTGAGGCAAAAGTTGTTCAATTTATTTTTCTGCATAACATAGTCTTTTTTTTCGGATTTTTTGGATTTTTTTTTTTTTGGCCGGGACCTACTCTGGTCCTTCTTGCACGGCCGGACCGCCCAGGAAAATAGGGTGACCCGGGCGGCCCGGCTGGTAGCCTAGCCCCTAAGCCTATACCTCTGTATCGTCTTTTAGGAGTAGTGGTAGGTAGGTAGCAAAAGGTGAGTTGAGAGAATAATATAGCTTGGTTAACGAAACAAAAAGAAATCCTGCCAGCGACACTATTATTTGACCTTGTAGGCCCAAAAGCCCAAAACTTTTGGGTTGCGCTCCCCAAAGCCCCAAACTTTTGAATACGACTCCCTGAAGCCGGGGTAACCAACAGGTCCCACACAACAGGTTTGGAAGCAACGGTGGACTAAACATGAAAACGTACTGAGTCCAAGAAAACAATGATCAGCGGAAGCGGCTGATCGGACATCATCATCAACACTTTGCACCCAACTGGTCATGAGCACCTTATCCACTGTGCCGCACCTATCGCGGTCAGCATGCCCAACTATTCTTTGAGAATTCCAATAATGCTTCACAAACGAGAATTCTGAAAACAATGTTCGGTGGAAGCAGCGGATCAGATATCATCAACACTTTGCATCCAACTGGTCATGGGCACCTTATCCACTGTGCAACACCTATATCTTTATTTTTTTTATTTTTTATTTTTATTTTTTACAAAAAAAAATAAAAAAACGTACCATTCTTTTATTGCCAAAGAAAACCAGAGGCCGGGCACCTCACAATTAACCCGGAGAATCTGGCAGCATCAGCATGCCCAGCTATTCTTTGAGAATTCCAATACTTCACAAACGATAATTCTTTGAGAATTCCGTTACTTCACAAATGAAAACGTTAACGACGATCACAACGAGCATGCATCGACAGGAAGGAGTTCAACCGATTCCATTTACGGAGGAGCGGGAAGGGAGAAGCAGAAAACCGCAAAGAAACATTTTCATGCCCCGGGGCAACAGTGTCTGCATCTGCACCTGAAACTGGCAATACCATCAGTCTCAAAAGAGCACGACCGCATTGAGAACAACAATTCTGACCAGGAGAGTTTATCCGGGCATTATTGCACACACGCCTTGAATTGACGGTTAGGTGTGAAGGTGTGAACACACAAGCTGTCAAAAACCTTTCATACGCGAGAAAAAAAACCCTCACATAACTCTGATTTTGCGATGTATAACTGTTGTCTATAACCATGAGAGTACCACATAACTAACACTGCTACACTTGTAACGACGAATGTGGAACAATGGAAAAAATCTAAATACGCTCCGACAACTCCCCCCAGCGAACCTCAGCCAGAAAAAAATGGGGGGCTGTGACAGTCTATTTGCCGACTTGTCCAGAGGCTGCATAAATTGCAGTTGTGTAGCCTGGCATGCGATGTGCCCAGGTTTAGAAAGTTCCCTCTACTCCCGTAAACGACCACCTGAACCATCAGCATCATACTTCCCCATGACAATATCTCCAATCATCTTCTCATTATCACACAGCATTTTTTTCACAAGCACAACCACCATACCCCCTCCACCACTTCGTTACGCATCACAGGAAACAGAAGGAGAAGGTTGCGAAAAGACGGCACTATAAGAATCGGTGCCATGCAGCCACAACCTACAACAGCAGTTTGCGTTCGCCACTAGCACAACTCGCTTGCTGCGAACGTGGACTTCTAACCCTCTGATGGTTCATGAGGTGTTTCATCATACCTGTTCACTCATGATGACCATTGCCAAAAGTCCAACAATTACGAAAAGTCCTGCACCTCCATCATAATCAAACCACGAGAAAAAAGAGGAAAAGAAAGACCCCCCTGGAGATTGGAGCCACAACCACATCAACCCCCCATCAACTGCACAAAATCCCACAACCATCTTTGACGCAGCACCCCAACATTTTGTAAATTTTCTTCTTCTTCTTTACACAGCGGAGTTCTTTCAACTGGGCACATTTCGAGAGACCAGCTGCAGAAGTCATTCAAAAGCACACAAAAAGCGAGCCAACCATCTTCCTGTCTCTTATACACATCTAGATGTGTATAAGAGACAGTCTTTACACAGCGGAGTTCTTTCAACTGGGCACATTTCGAGAGACCAGCTGCAGAAGTCATTCAAAAGCACACAAAAAGCGAGCCAACCATCTTCCGAGAAGCACCCCCGGGTTAGCATCCATGTTTCAGAAGCGAGAAATGATAGATACGGCACTGTCCATGTTGTGTCCATTCATCCAACATGGACCGCTCACTACTTCAAACAAACTTGTCACCAACACACAAGCAAGCCAACCATCTTCCAAGAAGCACCCCCGGGTTAGCATCCATGTTTCAGAAGCGAGAATTGATCTATAATGCACTGTCCATTCATCCAACATGGACCGCTCGGGACTTCAAACAAACTTGTCACCAACTTACTGAATGAACAAGACTTAGCCCATATGCTAAATCGATAGGCGAAGATCACGCCTGCGGAACAAATCCAGCATGTATTGAAACCTGAACACTCCTCTGAACACTCGATGAACACTCGGTGGTGAACTCAGCAAAAGGTGGACCCCTCCTGTGGGAACCTCTGAAACTCAGGAAACGTCAAGTCCGCTATTCTTGACAGCCAGAAAGAACTCCTTGACCAGGTGCTGATCACATAAAAAAGCACAACACTAAATCCAGGTGCTTGTCATAGAAAAAGGCACATGGAAAGAGAGGAAACATACATGTGTGTATATATATATATATACTAATCATCATCATCATCATCCTTCAAAGGAATCATCACCATTGGCGTTACAAAGAGCTATAGTGAATGACTATACTTGGCAGGCAGGCCATCCCCTAGGCTTCCCCCCGTCCAGGTCATGCATGCTTGACCGGAATACGTGTAGTATGTCTTCAAAACAACACCGACTGAGAGGAGGATCGGTCCATCTGATCCTCCACAATATCCACAAAGAAAGAAGAAGGCATGCCTTAGGCCACGCCAACAGAGCAAAGAGAGATCATGACAGAAATCTGAAAGAGGATCGCAGGGCAGAGCGAGAAGGGGGGCAGGCATTCACTTGGAGAGGGGGAAAATTGAGCACCCAAACAATTGCAAAAACTGCACAGCTTCTTCATCAGGGAAACACTGCCTAACAATTATAGCAATCCCACGGCGGCTTCCCTGGCTTTCTTCCACAGCTTTGGTCGCATCTTTTCGGGCACAAGATCCGTAGCTCAACAATTTAAAGTGTACAAATCAAAAACAGGGAGGACGGAGGTAGGGAAAGAGAGAGGAGAGTAGAAATCGGAGGCAAAAGAAAAAGAATGATCGGCACATAGCTCACACTGGACAAGGCGAAAAAGACCCAAGAAGTCACCTACACGATTTATTCCACGAGGGACCTCAACAAATATAGTTACAACCGGCGCCACCGCATCCAATCTTCTCCATGGGTCAAAGATAGACCCCAAAATAACAAACGAAGATTCCAGACACGGCATAGATCTGCAACTACGCAACAGTGTATTTCGACTCTATAACCACGGGCTGCCACTCCTCAGTGCTAGATCCCATCCGCCCACGAGAGACCCCATTTCTGCTCCGCCTTCAGTAACCCGCCACCTGGCTTCGGATGACGCAAGGAGGATCCAAATCTGCCCGTCCACAAAGCAACCATGTCCAGGCGAACACAACGATACAAACCCCAAAGAAGACATGGCATCAAGCATGCGCACTGCAGCACTTTCCCGACACCACCCCCTCAGCTCCACATGTGTCAGAAACAGGAACCCCTCCCCCCATAAGGAGTAAGCGTGATACGAATGACAGGATCGGCAGATGGCGATCCCAATCATATTGACATCCATCCACCCTGATGACAAGAAAAGAGTATGCTTTCTCATCGCAGAAACCTCTCCCACCCACCTTCCTCCCTGCACAGGGAGCTGCAGGCAGGGGGCACCCACCTTGACAGCATATAGTTCCTTGCCACAGACTGAACAATAGCAACCTGCCTGTCTAACACACTTGCTCTGACAAATAAAAGACAGTCATCGCCCCAACATCAAACACCAACTGATTCAACTAACCCCCTGCCTCCCCCCCCCCCACACTTTTTCCAACACTCCCACTGCCCCTTACCTTCCGCAAGAACATGTTCCGCGATATATTTCGACTAGGCCATACTCTTACTCTTTTCGACGGTCTCCCACTTGCTGCCTCCAACGACTATGTTAGACCATGGATTTGTATTGCCACCAGTTCAGCGCTGCTGAGGAAGCTGGGGTTTTTGCTCCACCGTGTCATAATGAACCACAAAGTTATCCTGCACACACAGACAACAAACGGAAGCCCGGCAATGCTCCACTGTGTCACAATGGATTACTTTGCCACCAGAATTTCTTCACCCTGCAGATACTTCTTACTATTTTTCATTTTTTTTTTCAATATTTTTCTCTTGGAAAGGTCAGCACTCGATCTACGTCCCTCAAGCTTTTTTCAGAAATTTTCATCCACAACACCGGGTGCAAAGAAAAATCACCAAAGTCTAAAGCTGGCGGCTGCCTACGCTCAAGCATGCCTGCTCACATCAGAGCCAGACGTGGGCACAATGCTGCTCACTTCAATGCATTGGGAGCTGGTTTAATAAATGGAATGCACAAATATATATATATATCTTCAAATATATATATATCGTCAAATAGAACTGCCCGGTAAGCCGTAGGCAGAGAGAGAGAAGAGGACAACAAACGAGGGGCTGTGACAAACCGTTTCTTCGGAGTTTCACCGACTCATCAGGAGGCTGAACCCTCCACAGTCTGTAGAATCCCCTCACTGATTACACTAAGTGATAATCCACCTTAACCAAAATCAAAGTAGACTATCACTCGTCCACACCAGATGGAAAACTCTACGGACTGTCGGTTCACACCCCATCACAAGCCAGCAAAACACCCACGAAACAAAGAAAGGTCTGTCACAGCCAAAAAATACACTCCAGACACGCCGCTGGCACTAGAGGCACATATATGTATATATCGTTCAAACAGAGCTGCCCAGTAAACCGTTGGCAGAGAGGGAGGTAGAAAAAGACGACAACAAACAAACGGGGGTATATATTGTCATATATATTGTCACACTGTGAATCAGAGCGCGAAGGCGAAAAAAATCAAAACAACTAAAGGAAAGAG